GAGAGAGAGAGAGAGAGAGAGAGAGAGAACGTTTAAAGGGATCTTTAAAGCGCTCAACTTGCACACGGGACCTCCGAAAATGTTCACCATTCTCCGAGAAGGCTAGGTGAAGATCTTTCCTGCCAAAAGATCAGGGGTGTGGCTGAAAGACAGCAGTAAGAAGAAGTCAAGAGGTAACAGTAGAAAGTCCTCAGAAAGAGTCAGGAGCCCAGAGGACGGGGCTAAGGAGGTGAGGGGGTGGGGGCAGAAAGAGATGAAAGCAGACAACAGAACATTGCTAGAGAGCTGGAAAGGAGGTGAAAGGAGACAATTTTAGAGAAGAAATTTTTTTGGTCGCTACCCGGATTCCAACCCTGGCTAGCAACTCTGGCTAGCAACATTATGGGATGTCAGGTGACGTCCTTAAAGGGTTAACTAAAACACATCTGTACCACGCAACACTGAACCCCCTTTTCCTAGTACGTCTCATGAAGGTTCACTCCACATCATTAGAGATGCACGGATCATCATCATCATCGTCATCATCATCATCATCATCATCATCATCATCATCATCATCATCATCATCATGGTATAAGAACTTTGTAAATGAAGAGCTCAGCCCATGTTGCCGAAGATGCGGCCATGAAAAGGAGGATATCAAACATATGTTTGAATGTCCAAAAACTATGGCAATTCGAATGGAGTTATTTGGGCGAGTGGGGGTGCCGCTAAGCATATTGACAATGGAGCCGAAAAAGAGCCTCGCTCTCGCTCGAAGATTTCTGCGTGAAGTCCGTCAGGCCCATTAAGGAAACAAAAAAATCATCATCATCATCATCATAATTGTAAAGTTATCTGGCGGTCCGATGAGTCGGGTCTGTCAGGGGGCCCCTGTCCAAGATAAATGTTGCCTCGTCGTGGTCCTGAGTTCGACTGAATACCTCAGTGAGTCTCTCAGACGATGTCTGCCTATTTCGCGCCGGACCCTTGACGTCACTCCTTTAATTATCTTGTCCCCACAGAAAAGATAAGAGTCATGTCCTTTGACATCACACATGATAATAATAATA